CATCAATTGCATCAATTCTTCTGTGGTCTTCCTTATTCACTGTCCAGCTTCTACATGCATATGAGGTTATTGAAAACAATCTCCTTAGGGTGCCCTAAAAAAAAAAAAAAATCCAATCAAAACAGTGACTTCAGGGGCCAGTTCAATTCAAAGCAGAGAGGTCAGCTCAGAAGGTCATGGTGACTGTTTTATAAGGATTCCAAAGGGTAACCTTGATAGATATCAAGGACATGGGACAATCTCCAGGGCTCATTAGAAAAAAGTTTTTTGGTTTTTTGTGGGTTTTTAAAAATGTTTGTGAATTATGTGATAGTTTACATGGGAGAGCATTCGTTTTACATTCATTCTATTGTATATCATTTCATTGCCATGGTTACAATCCCCTCCATGCATCATCAACCAACCAAAGGGTAAACACTACAGGAAAAAGATTTAAGAAAATTGAAAACAGCATTAGTGAATGAACGGTCACAAAAGTTACACTGAAGAATGTTTTTCCCCACCATGATAATGCCTCTGCTCATTCTTTGACAGTAGCAAAGTCTATTCTATGAGAATTTCCCTGGGTATCCTTACCACATCCACTCTACAGTCCTGATCTTGCTCCCTCAGACTGCTTTATGATTCCCAAACTCAGGGAACATCTAAAAGGAAAATGATTTGAGTCCTTCAAAGATGCCAAGACTCTTGTTTTGATATGGTGTAAATCAGAGCACAAAATTCTTCAGAGAAGGGTTAGAGAGGTGGAAACACCACTTTAAGACGTGTACAGACCTAGAGGAAGGATATGTCAAGAACCACTAGCTTCACATTCTGAGATTTCTATTTAATAAAGGTTTCTAGGATTTTGTAGCAACACTTTCCAAGTTAACCTTGTATGTGATTCTGAGGTCAGCAAGGTCTAAGAGCAGTGCCAGTAGTTCAAACCGTCCAGCCACTCCTCAGGAGAAAGATGAGGTTTTCTACTTCTGTAAAGATTTCTAGTCCTCATGAGTCAGAATCTATACAATGGCAGTGGTTTGGGGTTTTTAGGCAGGGAAGGTTACAAGCTAAGAATAGTTCTTGCATTTTTCAATTTCATGGGAACTGGAAAATGCAAAACATCTATAAAATTACAATACTGTGTGATCTGTGGGCAGTGTTGAATGGCATTCAGATTTCCATGTCTGTAACTAAAGTTTATGAGAACACAGCCATGCCCACTTGCTACACAGTAAGTCCTTAGAGCTGTTTCATGCATCGTTAAGTAGTGATTTGATTCCCTAATACTAGTCCCAGTGCTAGACTTTGTGGCTCAAGTGGTCTTTTCTCATCTATCTCAGCCCTCAAGTACAGCCACAACAGAAATATCACAAGGAGATGGCTTTAACAAACAGAAATTCATTTTCTCACAGTTTGTTATTAAGTGCCACAGAGTTGGTTCTAACTCATTGTGACCTTGTATAGTGTTTCCAAGGCTGTAAATCTTTATGGGAACAGAAAGCCTCAGCTTTCTCCTGCAGAGTGGCTGGTGCATTTGAACTGCTGACCTTATGGTTAAGTTCACGGCTTCTCCTACAGCACCACACCAGGACTCTATTTGCCAGTATAGGGATTAGGATTTACAACACGTTTGGGAAAACACAATTTAATCCATGATAACCGTCATTAAGAAGAGGTCCCTGGTCAGATAGAGACTGGTGGAACCCCAAGACTACAGCCGTTAGTAAACCTTCAGATCTGGAACTGAACTCACCTCCAAGACTTCATTTTCAGTCAAACAACGTTGTTGTTGTTAAGTGCTGTGGAGTTGGTTCCGACTCATAGTGACCCTGTGTAGGGTTTCCGAGGCTATAAATCTTTACGGGAGCTGAAAGCTTCATCTTTTTCCCTGCAGAACAGCTGGTAGTTTTGAACTGCTGAGCCTGAGGTTCACAGCCTGATTTTGAACTGCTGACCCTGAGGTTCGCAGCCTGATTCGTAACCACTACACTACCAGAGCTCCCAAAGAGAAGACACCAATATTAGTGACGTACACACATACCATGGGATGTTCAACCATTTGAGATGAAAAGGGCAGCATTTACCCAAAGACAAAATTCAGAAGGGTGGGGAAAGAAGGGGGGATGGAAACAAGAAACATAGGGAGGAAGTGGGATAAGTGATGATCCATGGAGGGGACTTGCAATCATTGAGATGAAATGAAGTGTGTGATTTGTTGGATGTAAAACTGATGATCTGCTCTATAAACCTTCAATCAATTCACAATAAAAAGTTTGTTGTTTTTGTTTTTTTTTAAAAAAAAAAAAAAAAGGAAAGGAAAAGGTCCCTGCGTAGCACAAACCCCCTGTGTTCAACTACTAGCCAAAAGGTTGGTGGTTTGAGCCCACCCAGAGGTACCTCGGAAAAAAGTCCTGAAAGTTCGCAGCCATTGGAAAACTTGCATTGCAGAGTTCTAAGGAGCTCTGGTAGCGTAGTGGTTACGAATCGGGCTGCGAACCTTAAGGTCAGCGGTTCGAAACTACCAGCCGCTCCGCGGGAGAAAGATGAGACTTTCTACTCCCGTAAGGATTTACACCCTCGGAAACCCTGTACGGGGTCGCTATGGGTCGGAACCGACTCAACGGCACTTAACAACAACAACAACAACTCTGAGTCAGAACCAGCTAGAGAGCAATTACATTAGGAGGAAGTTAGAAGTGAATGCTTTCCTGTTCTCTTCTAGGTGTCCCCCTACAACAACAGTATGAATACAAAGAACAGGTTGGCCCTGTGGGAGGTAGGGGAGTGTGAGGTGTTTATGAGAACCATTCATTCATACTCTCTTTTCATTGGACAGGTGAGTCACATGGCCACCAGGAAGGCCTGTGGAGAGGAGCACACAGACAATTGGGGAGCATTCCCAACCCCTGCTTGCTTCTAGTGTCCACTAACAAACCCACTACCACTGAGTCTGTTCTGACTCAGTGTCCCTCCAAGACAGGGCGGAACCACCCCCCAGAGGGTTTCCAAGATTGTAAATCCTGGCAGAAGCACATGGCCACATCTTTCTCCTACAGAGTGGCTCTTGCAAGTCAACCACCCATTATTCAGTTAGCAGCCACCAGGGATCCTTGGTTCATAGTAGATGCTCTGTTAACAGTTGTTGAAAGAATGGATGGATGAGAGCGCATCCATAAGAAGGAAGACTGGTTCTTTGCACAGACAACTTAGGCGGGTTGTGTTGAGGGCAACCCCGCTGCTTCTGATGTCACCAGCTGGAGGGAACTTCCTTCCCTTGTACAGTGGGGCGGGCCAAAGCCCCTCCCCTGCAGGACATCCCCCGAGTGGGGCGGGCTGTCTCCTTGGCAAGCCAGGGCAGGCTGGTGCCCAAAGCTTCCTAAGCATTCAAGTTTTCCTTCCCCCTCTCAGCTGCCTGCCTCTTCTTTCTCCTCCTCGCGCTGCCCTCTCACGGTACATGCGGCTGAGAACGGTGATGGCAGAGGAGGGCTCGGGCTGCCCGGTGCCTCGCCTGGCCTGGGCGTCCCCCTTGCGGGGCATAATTTTGTTAGGTGCCCTAGTTTTGTTCGTCATCGCAGCAATCTACTGCATACAGAATTCTCGGGAATCACAGGAGGTGAGTCCGGGAAGTGGGGACGAGGCACACCCCTGCCAACTGCCTGTTTCCCACAGAGCCTGGGACCCAGCATTAGGGGCGGGGACGCGGAATGGGGGAGAACCTAAGAGAAACACAAGGACAAGATCTAGAGCAGGTTGACAATCAGACAGAGGGACTTGAGACTCTAAAGGTAAAATCAGGCTGAGACGAGTAAGAAGAGGGCAGGGAGGGCGACCTGGTTGAAAAGCAGCAGCGGGACTGGGGGACGGTCCGGTCCTGCCCGGGGACCCAGCGAGTGGAGACGAAGGGACATCCCGGGCTGGGGTGAAGCATGAAGCTGGGAAAGATGTGTCGATCGATGTGGATTTGAACGATGATCTGTTCCTGGTGTTCCCCCGGCAGGATGACTCAGAAGATACTGGGGGCTTCACAGAACTGGGAGGGGCGCTTCCAGGGCCTCTTAGGACAGGGCAGGCAGGAGACACTGGCTGCTGGGAGGCTGCTCCCAGGATGTAACTGTTGAATGGGGCATCTGAGTGCCTGCGTGCGCAGGCTTCTGTCAGATCAAGGAAACTACACGTTTGTTGTAGTGGGAAAACAATGTTGCCACTGTTTTCCCACTCCCTGCTGCTTTAACCCTACTTCCTCTTTGAGATCTTTTACCAAAAAATGTCACACAGAAGCCCTATGGGATGAGGGGTAGATAGAGATTAGAGACTTCCTGACTTGGGAGTAGGGGGTTGTGGAGGGGAGGGTACTGAAAAGCGGGGTACTTGTGTAACTGTACTCTTTTCTTCCAGTGGGATATAGCTGAGCTCCAGTTGAATTATACAGGTAAGATGGGGTGGTCAGGGCCAGAAAAATGGAGGGAGGGAGCTTAAAGAGAGAGAGGGAAACAGTGAGGGGAACGATGGGGGAAGGGAGGGGCGGAGAGAGGGAAACTAGGAAGGGAGAAAGATGGAGGAATGTGTTCCTGGGTGTATACACACACACACACACACACACACACACACACACACACACACACGACCTCGCTTTTGAAATAGCCTCACATTTTAACTTCTCCCCTGGAAGAATCAAAACAACGGAAACAGCTACACTAATAGCAATAACTATAAGGATTATAGTACTTGGTCACTAACCGAAAGGTTGGTGGTTCAAGCCCACCAGGTGCTCCATGGAAGAAAGCCCTGGCGATCTGCTCCCAGCAAAATGACAGCCTAGGAAACCCTATAGGGCAGTTCTACTCTCTCATATGGGGTCATTGTGAGTTGGGATTGGCTTGATGGCACTCAGAAGCAACAGTGGTAATCCCTGCCATTCCTTCGTTCACCCTCCATTCACTGAGCATGTCTGGTGAGCAGGCTTGGTCCTAAGTGTTCCAACAGTGAACCAGACAGACATGGAGGAGAGAAAGGAAATTCGTAAAAGACCACGTGACACGTGTAGCATGTCACGTGTAGCAAGTATGTTTTGGAGAAAAACAAAGCAAGGGAGAAGGACCAGGCGTTTCGGGGCTGGGGGCTGTGATGTGCAGTGGAGTCATAGGAGAAGGGCTCCCCGAGATGGTGGTGACACTGGAGGAAAGCCCTCAGGAGACTGGGCAGTCTTGTGGGAAGAATTCCCTTCCTTCTCACCCTCTGTCTAATCCACTTCCTCCTCTGCGTCCACACCCATTTCCAGAGGCCACAGTCCCTGGAAGTTCGGGAGCTGTGTTCATTCTATTTCCTCACAGAAGGAATCTTGTCCCTCTGTCTTTCTTCCCTTCCTCCTTCCGGTGGCTTAACCTCTATCCTTTTGATTTTATGACACCCTCCACCCCCCACTTCCTTTCTCTTACCCATTGAATCTCTACTTCCTATTCTCTTTTCCTCGATCTCTCGGATGACCAATACCTCTAGTTCAGTCTCTATGATCCCCACTGCCTTTCGCCCTTCTCTGGCCCTTTAGCTTGCTCTATTCCACTGCCTCTATTACCCCTATTCCGGTCTTTTTCTTTCCTCTTCTCCCTTTATTTCCCTCTTTTCCCCTACTCATCTCTTCCTTTTCTTTTGCTCCCCACCCTTTCTCTTTCTCTTTCTGTCTCCATTTACTTCTCTGACATTTTGGATCGCTGACCTAGCCCTCTAGATCTACGATATACACTTCCTTTTGGACTCTGGTTGCTAGCCCTTTAAATCTCTCACCGTCGATCTATCCCCCCTGCCTCTATGACTCCCATTTCCTGTCTCTGTCTGGCTCACTTTTACTATTTATTCTCACCATTTTGATTTCTGACCATCTATCTCTCTGTCTCTATGACTCTCATTTCCTGTCTCTGGCTCACTTTTACTATTATTCTCACTCTTTGGAATCTCACTGTGTCTCTAGCTCTCTGTCTCTATGACCCCCACTTCCTGTCTCTGTCTTGCTCGCTTTTACTGTTATTCTCACCCTTTGAATCTCTGACCCTCTATCCGTTTATCTCTCCGGTGCCCTGTCCCTGTACCCCACTGTCTCTATGGCCTCTCTCCCCCCAAAAAAACCTCCATCCTTTCACCTACCCCCACCTCTATGCCCTCAGGACTGCGGCAGGACCCCAGGCTGCACTGGCAGGGAGGCCCAGCGCTGGGCCGCTCCTTCCTGCATGGACCCACACTAAACAACGGGCAGCTGTGTGTCCAGCGTGACGGTATCTACAGGCTGCACATCCAGGTGACACTGGCCAATTGCTCCTCCACGCAGATGACCACGCCCAGAGAGGCCACCTTGGCTGTGGGCATCTGTGCCCCGGCCACTCGCCAAGTTAGCCTGCTTCGCCTGTATTTCTATCACAGCTGCACCGTGGGCTCCCATAGACTGACGCCCCTGGCCCGGGGTGACGTGCTCTGCACCAACCTCACTGTGACGCTGCGGGCCTCCCCCAATGCCGATGAGACCTTCTTTGGGGTCCAGTGGATGCACTCTTGAACACCATCTCTCCTGGCCTCTTCAGAGGAATTCAGAAGGACTTTTCCATGATTCTCTTCTTAATACACAAGTTGACTGTTTCATGTTAAGTGAAAGTCTAGCTTTATCATTGTCTTTATTTAGAGATTATGTACGATTTAAGAAGATGTGTTGATTTGTTTTAAGCTATGATAATGAGTGGTTCAGCCAACATGGGACTGATGGTACCTCCAAAAATAATATAATCACCTCTGTGATGTGATCAACCGATGAAATCTAAGGAGAGTTTCCTCAGGAGTGTGGCCTGCAAACAATATCTGCAGATGAGTCCAAAATTGTCCGCACTCTGGCTGTAAATTTTAATCAACTTTTAGAAAAGTAAAATATAATGATTTTTTTTTTTTTTACATAATCTATTTGCTTTGTCCATTTGTCAACAAGATTTCATATACCCTGATTTTAAAATCTTTTAGGCTGAGTTATGAGCCACGAATATACCATTGTCTTCACCTCTTCATCAGAGGTGAATCTTCATCTTCAAAGGGCACCAAAGAGGTGAAAGTCTGATGGATCAAGGTTAGGACTACAGGGAGGATGCTTTAACACCTCAAGATAAACTTTTTGCAGAGCATCAACAGTGTGGGCAGATGTGTGTGGATGTGCATTGTCATGCAAGATCACAACACCCTTGGAGAGCAGTCCTCTGCATTTAATCTGAAATTTAGGCTCCACCTCTTTAGTGAGCATCCCACTGTAACAAACACTGTTGATTGTTGAACTGTTTCCTGATAGAGTTCCAATACTGGCCCTTGAGAGTCCCAGAAAACTCTAAGTATCAATTTTCCAGCTGGTAGTTGACTTCTGAACTTTTTCTTAAGAATGTTTCCAATCCATACTCTGCCATTTACTCTCAGGCTCATAGTGATGATTCCATGTCTCGTCACCAGTAACAATTTTTTTTTCAAGAAATGTTTACCTTCCTTCAAGTAATGGTCCAAATTTTGTTTGCAGATGTCCAAACACTTCTGCTTGTGCTCTTCTATGAGTTGTTTCAGTACCTACCTCACACAATTTTTCAAAACCCAAGTCTGTCATGGATTATTTCATAGGCAGAGCCGTGGCTGATTTGCCAATGATTTGCCATATCTATCACTGTCACTCATTTATTCAACCGAATCATTTCACTTACAAGCTCAATGTTGTCATCAGCTGTGGATGTGGATGGGAGTTAGAAGCTAACTGGAGTGCAGATAATTTTTGACTCACTCTCATATATTAGTTCTCAAAGCTTGCAAATAATCCTCTCTTCTTGGACACATCTAGGCAATGACTCTTCCTTTCAGACTTTTGGTATAGAGCATGTTCTTTGGTTGGAGACCCATTGGCCTTGGGGTTCAACTCTGCCTTCTAGGCCCACTAGGATGACAACTTTGCTCTATTGGCTTTGAGTGACTCCATTCTCCTAGTCCATCTTAGTGGTGACTCCCCCCACTCCCAGCCCCTTGGCCCTGGTGTGCCTAATCCTTCTGTCCCTTGGAAATGGCAGTTCACATTACTCAGCCTTGGGCGGTGGCCCCATTTCTCTGTCACATTTTAATGATAATCCCAGACTCTGGAAACAAGTTGGCAAAGATCCCACTCTTTGAAACCTGGCAGGCTGTGGTCCCACTCTTTGCGATCCAGAGGACTGTGGCTCTGCTTCCCATGTTCCTTCCAAAAGTCCTGCTGATCTCTGAGTTGCTCCAGTCTTTTCCTTTTCCTGAAGGATGACAGATGTGGTCCTGTTGCAGACCATGTAAACCTGGTCAGAAGTTCGAGGCCCACAGGGCCCGAGACAATACAGGCCGCAGGCTCTGAGGAACAAATCTAGCCACCTGGCAGTTAATAACAAATTATTTTTCATCTTAGTGTTCAGTTATATTTATTAATTTCATACATGGAGCCCTTGATATCCACAGATAAATGTAATATTTTCCTAAAAGCCAAGACTGTAAAATTCCAAACAGGCAAAGTTCTTCCCTCAGAGAATTCATTCAAGGTAAATTGGGTGGCTCCCTGGTCTGTTCTAAGGACAATAGAAATGTCCACCCTAAAGTGTTTCCAGGTGCTGCCTATTCACCCAGGCATCTCTTTTCCTGAAGAACCTGGGATGGGCAGCTGACACAATGGGATTCCTCCCAATCCTCCCTTTCCTCCCTCCATTTGAGGCTAGGTGCTAAAAGGTATGATAATTAAGCTTGAGAAACCAAGTTGCGGTTGTGAGATTCAAACCTGCAAAGTATGATGTAAAGTTGCCTGAATGTCTGGGAAAGTAAGATTGACAGCTGTATCTTGTCTTAGTCCCTCCTAGCTTTGTGTAAAGTACCTCCCCTAAATAAAAAGAAGGCGCAGAACGAATCCAGGTGCATTATGACTGGCAAGGCGTGCGTTACAGCATGCAGAGGGCACAGTCCAGCCTTGCAACCATACTGCCTGTTTAGCTAAGATGTTTACTATGCAGGATATTATGGCCTTCGTGGCTGAGATGTTTACAATGCAGGATCTGCCTGATGCCAGTCCAGCATTCACCCTGGTTTTGGAGTGTCTCTTTGTCTCTCTCTTTGCGTCTCTGTGTCTCTTTTGCTATTTCTGTCGCCGCCAGGTATCTTCTCCTCGTGAACCGAATCCCTATGTTGAGGCCGGTCCCCGACATGGTCCCTTTGGTCTGCTTCTTGCCTGTAGAATTCCAACAGACAGACAGTGTTCTTTCTCTCTCTCCTTTAGTCTAAGCTGAAGGGTTTGCTGCTGTCGTAGTTTAGATCCATCAGTCACCAGTTGATTAGCATAACCTAACAAAAGATTGTGTAGCCATGTCCTTGGTGACCAACCTAAGACACAGGCAATTTTACTTTGGTGATACCCTCATCCTGTATTTTGAGGAAAAGATCAAGCATGTTAAACGTATGCATCCCCAAAGACTTCACTCTAAAGAAAGGAATGTCTAATTCTCTATTCCTTGAGCATATACTGTTCATAGATTTCCTTCCACAGAGTAAGTAAGAAATAAGGGAAGAGAGTAACATTGCAGTGCAGAGGAGACCAAGCGCTGCAGTGGCTAAGCTAAGTGAAAACACTAGCACACTAACGGTTAAACCCACTAGCCACTGGTGTTGTTGTTATTGTTGTTGTTAAGTGCCGTCGAGTTGGTTCCGACCCATAGCGACCCTGTACAGGGTTTCCGAGGGTGTAAATCCTTATGGGAGTAGAAAGCCTCATCTTTCTTCCGCGGAGCGGCTGGTAGTTTCGAACCGATGACCTTAAGGTTCGCAGCCCGATTCGTAACCACTACGTGGCACTGTGAATTAATGTGCTGGATTGCAAAGTCAATTTGAACAGCAAGGTCGGTGGTTCAAGCTCACCATCTGCTCCTCAGAAACCCTATACAGGGTCACTGTGGTTTAAGGTCGCTCAGCGGCACTTAACAACAACAACAACAACAAGCCACTTACCAGGGGAAAAACATGACAGTCTACCTCTGTAAAGATTTACAATCTCGGGAAATGAAAGTAAGGAAGGGAGAGGGGTGGAAAGGAAAAGAAAGAAGAGATAAAAACATATCTGGAACTAGACAGTGGTGCTGGCTGTACAACATGGAAAGTATGATTGGTGAGGCTGGATTGTACATGTACAAAAATGAAATGTTAAATGTTTTATTGTAGTAAAATAAAAATATTTACAATCTCAGAAACCCTATGGAGCAGTTCTTCCCTGTCCTCTAGGGTTGCTGAGTCAAAACCGGCTTGATGGCATCGGTTTGGTTGTTGTTGTTTACAGTGTACATACCTGACAAACCTTACTTCAGCCAAGTGATCAAGATCAACATCAGCAGTCATAAGTCATGTTAAATGCATGTATCCTTGATATGATGTGAAGAAAATAACACTTTTCATGGAAGATCTTCCTCTAAAAACACATAAACTCAGAGAATTAGTCAGTATTTAACCATTCCAAGAAGTACCATAGGATAGCAACCAATGATGTTGAAGTAAGAAGTCCAAGCTGCAGTAAAGCCATTGGTGAAACACAAGGCTCCAGGATCTGGCGGAATCAAAATAGAAATATTTCAACAAATTGATACAGCACTGGAGATGCTCACTTGTCTATGCCAGGAAATCTGGATGACAATTACCTGACCAACTGATTGGAAGAGATCCATATTTGTGTCCATTCCAAAGAAAAATTGACCTAATGGAGTGCAGAAACCATCTAACAATAAAATGAATATCACATGCAAGAGAAATTTTACTGAAGATAGTTTTTAAGTGGCAGTACATTGACAGAGAGCTGACAAAAATTCAAGACAGATTCAGAAGAGAACTGGCATCAGGTGGATCTTGGCTGGAAGTAGAAAATGCTAGAAAGATATTTGTGTGTGCTTTATTGACTGACTATACAAAGACATTCAACTGTCTAGATAAAAACAAACTATAGATAACATTTCAAGTAATGGGAATTTCAGACACTTAATTGTGCTCATAAGGAACTTGTGCATACATCAAGAGGCAGTCTTTTGAACAGAACATGGGGATACTGAATGATTCAAAATCAGGGTTGTATCCTTTTACCATACTTACTCAGCCTGTATACTGAGCAAATAATCTGAGAAACTGGTTTATATGAAGTTTATGGCATCAGAATTGGAGGAAGACTCATAGTAACCTGTGATATGCAAATGACATAACCTTGCTTGCTAAAAACTAACAGGATTTAAAATACTTATTGATGAAGATTGAAGACTGTAGCCTTCAGTATGGATTGCACCTCAATGTAACAAAAACAAAATTCCTCACAACTGGACCAGTAAGTAACATCATGATAAATGGGGGAATGATTGAAGTTGTCAAAGACTTAAATTCGCTTGGATCCACAATCAATGATCATGGAAGCAGTAGTCAAGAAATCAAATGACATATTGCATTGAACAAATATGCTATAAAAGACCTCTTGAAAGTATTAAAGAGCACAGATGTCATTTTGAGGAC